TGTAATTGATCTTACTTTTAGTTTTGTGATCATTGCTGGACATTCTCTTTATATTTTACTGCTTATGTAATATGTATGTATGTTTTAAATATTCAACTATGGTCTTACCCTGTAATATGTGTGATTTATTCAGTTTCTTGCTATGTAAATTTCCTGTTGTTTCTTTTAATCCTTGTTTTGATTTATTCTTCGCTCTTGTATTTTATTTGTTTCATAGGAAAGATGAATCGGAAACACTGCCTGAAACAAAGACCTTTAAAGTTCCTAACACAGAGAATATCATTGAAGAGGGAAAAAAGACTCCTTCAAAGTACCGAAATATTACATTATGTAACGTCGGCTGTAAAATTGAAACTGAGATGTATATATACAGCTAGTGGGTGGCCTTCAGTTAGTGGTGCAGCTCTGAAAACGTTAGCTGGAAAGGTCTCCACAGACAACATATATTTGATGGATGATGACTATATGGATTCTGACAGCAGTGAGGAAATTTCTCTTGATCAAACTGCTCAAGCTAATGGACAAAGTGGAAAACCTGGTATTGATTCAGACGATGTAGATGTTTCTGCATATGGGACTGCTTATCAGGCATTTGGAGGGGGTAAGGAAGGGAGGGAAGCTTGCCATGCAATTGCAGCACTTTGTGAAATGTGTTCTACTGATTCCTTGATTTCCAACTTTATTCTTCCTCTCCAGGTAAACTGATATTATGATTCTGTTTTTTATTTGGTTCCATATAAATCACCCCAAATTTTCATTCTATTATGGTTTATGAATTTGAAGTTGAAAATTGTAATTCATGTAAATTCATTTGCATATTATTCTGGCCTTAATCAAGGATACGTAGTGTACACTGATATCTATCGCCCATCCATTATTTGGAAACTTCTACCCTTGATGCCCAATGGTTCATACCAAACTGTTTAGTGTATTTCACATGTATGCAAGATGTATCAGATACGATGAAGTTAAATCAAATTAATTTATTTGCACGTCCTTTTGATTTCTAGGTGGATTTATATAATTCATACTGGTGTAGCGTAAAATTTTTTATTATATTGCATGTATGATGTACATCATTAATTAAACTAAAAACAATCTTGCCATTATAAGGAGATGCATGCATGTATATGTGTCAATCTATGTTGCCTAGGTACGGATACGGGTATGGGTACGGGACACAGCAAATTTGTAAAAAGTAGGATACGGGGACACGACTGTATATATATATAAAATAATTCACTTTAGATCAATATTAAATTAAATACGTATTATATTTTCATATTTTTTGTTATGTAAAGTGGAGATTATAAATAAGAAACTAAAGGAAAATGCATGTTGCAGGTGTGAATAAATACGTCGGGATGTCAATGATCTCTTGGAGAATTGAAGACAAAAATGTTAAAGAAGACAAGAAATAGAAGAGGAGCATATAGAAAAATAGATCAATTTGTATGTTATATACTTATATTATTATGTAACATTGGCTTGTATAATCAATGACAATTGACAAATATAAGTTATGTAACATTGTAAGAAATCTATTTTTACTTTAATTAATAATTTAGAACTAATATAATTAGTTATATAAACAAATACAAGGAGAACAAGAGAAAAAGGAAAAACAATATAATTTAGAACAGCCAACCAGCCCCCTTTATAATTCAACCCCAAGTTTGTTCAAGAAAAGCCAAACCAGCCCCCAAATTAGTTAAGGAAAAAAGAGAAAAAGGAGAAAAAGAAAGGAGAAAAAGGAGAAAAAGAGAGCGCTGATCATAATGGCAAAATTAATCACGACCGTCTCTTTCTTCTCTCTACTCTAATCCTAAATTTGGCCCAAATTGAGTCCAGCTCCTAGATCGAACCAAAAACCCCCAAAATGGAAACCCTAGAACGCCAGATCTTGTCGTTGAGGAAAAGGAGAAACAACAAAAAAAAACCCTAAAAATCAAACCTGGTCTTCGAGCAGAGGAGCGGATCTTGTCGTCGAGGAGCTATGTCATCGTCGAGGAGCTGTTTCGTCGTCGTCATCGAGGAGCTCCAGCTGTTTCGTCGTCGTCGAGGATTCAAAAATAAATTTACTTTCATTCTAAATGAGTCAAAATTGCCAAAATTGTGAGTTGGAACACATGAAAATCACAAATTGTGCTAAAAACATAATAAGTTTACTTTCATTTAAAACTAAAGAAAATTTTCAAAAATAATGGATTACGCCCATATAAATCACAAATTTTAACGTACATATAATAAATTTACTCTCATTCAAAACCAACCAAATTTGAAATTTTCGTAGGCTACATTCATAAAAATCAACAAATTTTGATGTACACATAATAAATTTACTTTCTTCGAAATTAACCAAAATTGACAAAAATTGTGGGTTATCGCTTATGAAAATGATGAATTTGATGTACACATAATTTATTTACATTTGTTCAAAATGAACCAAAATTGTCAAAAGCCGTAGGTTATAGCCAATGAAAATCACAAATTTAATGTACACAATAAATTTATTTTCGTTTGAAACAAACCAAAATTGACAAAATTTGTGAGTTGCCCATGAAAATCGCGAATTTTGATGTGTACATAATTTATTTGCATATATTTGAAACAAACCAAAATTGAAAAAAATCATGGGTTATAGCGTATGAAAAACCTGAATTTTGATGTACACAAAATTCATTTACATTCGTTCGTGACAAACCAAAATTGGCAAAATTTAAGGGTTATAGCTCATAAAAATCGTGAAATTTAATGTACACATAATTTATTTACATTCATTCAAGACATACCAAATTGTCAAAACTGATGGGCTATAGCCAATGAAAATTGTAAATTTTAATGGATACATAATAAATTTACTTTTACTTGAAAAAAAACAAAAACTAAAGAATTCGTGAATGCAAATTTTGATGTGCACATCATAAATTTATATTTTTTTTCAAAACGAACAAAAAATGACAAAAATCGTGAATTATAGCTCAGGAAAATCAAGAATTTTGATGTACACGTTAATTTATTTACATCCGTACAAACTAACAGAAATTGTCAAAAATTATGGATTATACAACCCATAAAGATTGCAAATTTTTATGTTCACAAAATAAATTTATTTTCATTCAAAATAAACTAAAAATGACAAAATATATGGTTTACAACTCATAAAAATCGCACATTGTGATGTACATAGAATTTATTTATGTTCATTCAAACTGAACCAAAATTTTCAAAAATTGTGAGCAGCAAATGAACATTGCAAATTTTGATGTACACATAATAAATTTATTTCCGTTCGAAATGAACCAAAATTGACAAAAAAAATTAAGCTATAGCTCATGAAAATCGTGAATTTTGGCGTACACATGATTGATATATAATCGTTCAAAACAAACAAAAATTTTAAAAAATTATGTAATAGACCATGAAAATCACAAATTTTGAAGTACACATAATAAGTTTACATTCATTCAAAATGAACGAAAGTTGACAAAAATCATGGATTATACTCATAAAAATCGCGAATATTGTCTTACACATAAATTAATTATATTCGTTCAAAAAGAACCAAAATTGTTAAAAATCTTGGGTTTTAGCCTATGAAAATCGCAAATTTTGACGTACGCAAAATAAACTTACTTTCAGTTGAAATAAACCAAGATTGTTAAAAATCGTGGGTTATAATCCATGAAAATTACAAATTTTGATAAACACATAATAAATTTACTTTTATTCAGAAAGAACCAAAATTGACAAAATTTGGAGGTTATAGCTCATGAATGTTACGAATTTTGATGTCAACATAATAAATTTCTTTTGTTCCAAACAAACCAATATTGACAAAATTTGGAGGTTATAGCCCATGAATGTCGCGAATTTTAATGTGCACATAATTCATTTACATTCATTAAAATTCAACAAAGTTTTTCAAAAATCAAGGGTTATAGCCCATGAAAATAGCAAATTTTGATGCACACATAATTTCATTTACATTCATTCAAAACTAGCTAAAATTTTCCAAAATTATGGGTTATTGCCCATGAAAATCGCAAAGTCTAATGTACAAATTATAAATTTACTTTCATTCAAAACAAACCAAAATTGACATATTTTGTTTAAATATTGATATATTGCCGTCTACTAAGTATACATCCGAAAACAAACAAATAGTTGACAAAATAGTTAATGATGAGAAATTACAGATACTTTTATCATGTTAAAATTTTAAACTAAAAAAGCTGCATAAGAATCAATCTACAGCAGAATTGACAGTTCCTTTTGGTGCACTATGACGTCCATATCTAGCTTATTGCTAATTACCCATCAGTCACAATTTATTGTCTCATTAGGTTTCACTACTTCACTACAATGGCATTTTTTTTTTTGAGAAAAAGGATGGAATACCACAAAGATATTCCGGCCAGCTAAATTAAGATAACTGGTTGTTACAAAAAAAGAACATACTCCCAACCAAAGAGCATGAACTACTGTTTAAACCAAAAACTTACAAAGTCAATCCACATCCCCATGTCCAAAGCACCAGACATAATCTCCCAAAAAGAGTACAAAAACCGACATAGCAAACAAGTATACTGTATACAGCCCCATGCTATACAAAGCAGCAGAAAACCAAAAAAACTATCTTTCCATCAACCAAACCGCAAAAAGCACTCTGTGAAAACTTCATTCCAACTGGATCACCTGGAACTCAGCCATCCCGCCATCAGCTGTGCCATCACTAGCAAGCCTCCTAGCAGCTTTTTTTTCTCCTCCTTTCCTGTAACCTAGCAGCTCGAGCAGAAATCTCTTTAGAACCTAACCAGAAGGTTTAACCTAGCAGCTCGAGCAGAAATCTCTTTAGAACCTAACCAGAAGGTTGAATAAGTCACAATTTTATTCAGGAGGAGAAGAGATCCGAATAAGTCACAATTTTATTCAGGAGGAGAAGAGATCCTTTCTGTTTATTAGAAAACAATCTATCATTGCGTTCCTGCCACACACACCAGATCAGGGAGCAAATCAACACTAACTTCTTTAAGTTAGAATCTCCACCAATACCACCACTCCAGCATAGCCATACTTCTTTCAAAGAATTCATTCTAAAATCATTGTCAGTTTTCAACTTGAATGGAATAGATCTCCAGATTGAGTATACAAACTCACAGTTAAGAAATAAATGTGCATGATCTTCATCTTTTTTTGAACAGAAACAACATGTTTTCCCTAAATGAATACCCTTTCTATTCAACATATCTTTAGTATTCAAACCCTCCCTTAAAGCCAACCAAACTAAGACTTTAACCTTTAAAGGAACAGGGAGGCCCCATAAATTCATACAATCATATCTCACACCTCCATCATTAAGAAAATGATAAAAGAACTTAACAGTAAACATCTTTTTTGCCTCCCATATCCATTCTCTTTTATCATCATGATACAAGAAATTCTTTGAATTAACAAGATTCATCAAATTAAGATATTGCAACACCAAATCACCTGTCATCTGCCTTCTAAAATGAATATCATGATACAATGGCATTCTTTTAAATATTGATATACTGCAGTCTACTAAGTATATCATGATCAAGCTAAAAACCTAGCCCTCGAGGCCCTTCTACAAACTAAATGTTATACGATGCAATAATTCACAGTAAGAGCAATACCTGAACTACCAAGACAAAGTTAAATATACAACATTAAAGGAGCTGTAGCAAACATTATCGTTGATCAGATGGCTTTTCCTCACCAAACCACCTTGGCGGATCAAATCCGCTTCCACCTGCAGCATATAGGATAGTAATTTAGCCTTGTATAATTTCTATATATTCCAATTTTCAATCTATAAGTACAGAATAACATAATGTTTTCTGCATTGTAGAGGGTAAGACATCAGGAAACTCCAGCATCTTTCAAATTTGGGTTTTTTTGATATTAGTCCCTTAAATCTCTAGTAATTTGATATTAGTCCCTTAAATATGTGTATTTTGATATTAGTCCCTCAAATTGCTAAATATAATGTTTGATATGAATGGAGATAAATCTCCTGGTCCAGCTGGCTTTTCTGCATTGTTTTTCCAAACTTTTTGGGAAACAGTCAAAAATGATATTATGAAATTGTTTGAGGAATTTTATGAAGGCAAATTAGAAATAAATAGGCTCAATTATGCTCATATTGTGCTTATTCCCAAAAAAAATGAGGCTTCTACGGTTTCTGATTATAAACCTATCAGCCTCCTAAATGTGATTTATAAAGTGATTACTAAAGTTTTGACTAACAGATTGAATTCTAAGCTTGATATGCTTATTGATCCTGTTCAGTCTGGTTTCATAAAAAATAGATTTTTGATGGATGGGGTAGCAGCAACTCAGGAAATTATAAATGATTGTTTTCAGAATAACAAAAGGTTAGATTTTGTAAAAGCATATGATATGCTAAACTGGGACTTTATCTTGGAGGTTATGAAGGCTAAAAATTTTGGAGCTAAATGGCTTAACTGGGTTACTTTGTGTTTAAAAGGAGGTATGTCTGCCATTAACATAAATGGTAAAGTTGGTTGTTGGATTATGTCCAAAAGAGGGGTTCGTCAAGGCGACCCTTTATCTCCTCTTCTCTTTGTTTTGGCTGCTGACTCCTTTACTAGGATGATGAACTTGGCAGTTGAGTCTTTTCTTATTGAAGGTTTAGGTCCTAACAATATGACTCATAAAATTTGTTGTTTACAATATGCTGACGATACATTGATTTTTTGTAAAAACAAAAAAGAGCAGTTGACAGTTTTGAAGATGATCTTATATTGTTTTGAACTTGCTTCTGGATTAAAAATAAGCTTTAATAAGAGTATTCTTATTGCTCTTGAGGATAATGAAACTTTGCAACAGAATTTGGCTATTATGTTGAATTGTAAAAGTGGGAGTTTCCCCATTACTTACCTTGGAATTCCTTTGAGACCTGGAAAATTAAAAAAAGAAGACTGGTCTCCTTTGATTGAGAAGATAGAAAGAAGGCTAGCCTTGTGGAAAGGAAAGTCTTTGTCAAGAGGGGGCAGACTTGTTTTAGTCAATTCTGTTCTTTCATCTATGCCAATTTTTTGGCTGTCTTTCTTTGTTTTTCCTATGTGGCTTATTGACAAAATTGATAAAATGAGAAGGAGATTCTTGTGGACTGGATCTCTTGATCATAAAGGCTCTTCTAATTTGGTCAAATGGGAGGAGGTTTGTAGACCTAAAAATTTTGAAGGTTTGGGTGTAATAAATTTAAGAGTTATGAACAAAGCTCTGTTGGGGAAATGGCTTTGGAAATAGTTTGATAATAAACTGGAACTTTGGAAGCAAATCAGTTTCTACAAGTATTTTGAGAGAAGAAATTGGACAGAATTTTTTTATTCTGGTAGGAATTTATTAACTCAGTTTTGGAGGAATTGTTTTGATAATGTTGAGAGTTTTTTATGCAGTTCTGTTGTGGAGGTGGGGAGGGGTAATCGAACTTTGTTTTGGCTTGACAAATGGGTAGGTTCTTCTACCCTTGCTTCTAAGTATCCTTCCCTTTTTAACATCACTTCTTCTTCTTTTGCCTCCATTAGCAGTTTGAGAAAGAAAGTGAATGATGAATGGATATGGAATATTCAGTTTAGAAGGCAATTGACTGGAAATTTGGTTTTCCAATATTTCAAATTGTTGAATGATATTAGAGAGTTAATCTTTGATCAAAGGGAGGACAGGAGGATATGGTTTTGGGGAACTAAAGGCAGTTTCACAGTTAAATCATATTATCAGTTTCTTATGGATGGGGGTTTAAGATTTGATTGTGCAAATCTCTGGCAGCTTCCTGTCCCTTTAAAGGTAAAATTTCTTGTTTGGTTGGCATTAAGACAAGGTTTAAATACAAAAGATAATTTAGAGAAGAAGGGAATTCATCTGGATTTGATGTGCAGCTTCTGTTCTAAAGAAGTGGAAAGTCATTTCCATTTGTTTGTGGAGTGTGAGTTTGTATTCTCTATTTGGAGATCTATCCAATATAAATTGAAGATTGAAAATGATTTTAGATTGAACTCCCTAAAAGAGATTTGGATTAATTGGTTTATGGGAGAAGATGATAACAGTAAGGTGGAAAGACATGTTACTATCTGTTCTCTTATATGGTGTATTTGGCAGGAACGTAACGATAGAATCTTTTCTAACAAGAAGAGATCCCTGGAGATTTTGAGCAAAATTTTGACATTTTCATCATTTTGGTTAGGTTCTAAACCTATAACTGCGCGAGCTGCTAGGCTTCAAGAGAGGAGAAGGAAAAGAGCTGCTGAAGGACATGTCGATGCTGGAGGAATTGCGAGTACAGTGATTCAACTTGAATGATTCTTAACTCCAAATTCTTGAAGTTTTTTTGGTTCTTGAGTTTTAAAACTCTGGTTAAAGATACAGTGATCTGCTATTTTGTTTTGGTAGTAGTTGATAGCTTCTTCTTTGCTTTGGGAAAGGATAATCCTATGTTGTGGAGCAGGAGCTCTTTTGATTTGTAATTTTTGTTTGAACTAGAGTACACACTCTTGGTTGGGGGTGTGTATCTGTTTGTAACAACCAAGTTTTAATATTAATTTAGCTGGCTGAATTACTGTTATGATTAACAGTAATTCATCCTTTTTCTCAAAAAAAAAAAATTGCTAAATATAATGATAAGAGTCCCTAAAGTTAGTTGGGGTTATAAATTCCATAGAATATTTCGTTATGTATAACTTTTATAGGGAATGGACAGTTATACCCTCCCCTCTAAAACCCAAAATTACAAACCCGTTAAGACACCCAAACCGGACCCGCTACCTATTTCATCTTCTCCAATGGTCTACTCACAATAAACTCATCCTCTCCAAGGGCCTTTTACCATTTTTGAGTGGGAAATAGAAAGAGATTCTTCCTTATGTCAACATCTCCCTCTCAAACAAATAATCAAATACAAGTAATTTCCCATCACAAAGGGGAAACAATCCCATCAATGCAACCTCAAAATCCCGACAACGATCTCGAAGAAGAATCATGGTCGCCATCAATCACCGATCCAAGACCCGCCAACCTTCGAAAGAAGCCATCTTTTTCCCGTTGGTGCGGCGGAGAAGACGCCGCCTCCTCCTTATCCTTCGACATGATCTCGATCGCCGACTCCTCCGCCGCCGCTGTCGACGTCGAGGAGTTCGAGTTCCTGTCGCTTCCCACATTCGCCGATGCCTCCAATGGGAGAAAGATGACCCCTTTTCTTCTAAAGAGAGTGGGAAATAAAGAGGCAGAGAGAGAAAGATGAGGAAATTAGTTTGGTGGGTGTATTCAATGCGTGTGGGGGTATGTTCGTAATTGGAAATCCTTGGTTACTATAAACCAAACTAGGGTTAGAGAATTTGGACAGAAATTTTAACAGAGGGGCTCTTATAGATATATTTAAGCAATTTGAGGGACTAATATCAAAATACACATATTTAAGGGACTAATATCAAATTAACAGAGATTTAAGGGACTAATATCGAAAAAACCCTTCAAATTTTTAGCTGAAAACCATTTTAATTAAACAATAAATTATAATCTGATATGAGAATCATATATAAACACAAGTCTTTTGATATTTCTGAGAATGTCAACTCCACAGCATAAAGCAATTACTAATTAACACTGAAACCCTAATCTTATACCTTGTGGAGTGGTGCTGGGTGTAATATTCAGTGTAATTCAGTCTGATATCAGTTTCTTCTCAAATGTGAGACTTACACATCTACATATGAATCATGGGGAATCTCTTTGATTTAAAACCTCTACAGCTTTGCATAGTTCAGCCTTCCTGCAGTTTTTGTGGAGGGAAACCGCTTTGTGCTGTCAGACCAGCAACTAGCAAGACACATAATTATCAATTTCAGCCCTGTATGTCCTCTCATTGAAATATGATTCACTACACTGACATTATCTATAAATTATAATGATTTTAATATGAAAAAAAATATAGAGAACAAGAGGTATTTCCCCCTCAAATGCACGTTCAGAAGAGTGTCATTTAAACTTCCAAATCTATAGTTTATCTTTGCAAACTTATAATCGAAGATCGGACGATGCAAGATAAGATCGGACGATGCAAGATGTATATTTCATAATCTTAATGGAAGTGAACTACTTAATCTTAACAAGACAAAAACCAACAAGTCCACAATCTAGAAATACAACTAAATAACATGAAGAAATAGAGTTACCAAGTGGGTTACAGCGGCAAAGGCGCCAAGCTGTCAGTATCGTGCCCTTTGCGACCCCGTACTTCTTATAAGCCTCCATCGAGTACTCACTGCAGGTTGGCACAAAACGGCAGCTCGAAGGAAGCAATGGAGATATCTCCCCTGCTCATAGACAGTCACAAATCAACTCAATTCTCGCAATAACTTTTTCCCAAAAAATTCATGAACAAATTTTCGCTGTAGACCAGAATGAGCTTTTAATTACCAAAATCGACCGTTTTTTTTTTAATTATCAAAATCGACCCGTTTTATGCCACGTAGACTTAATCTCGTTTCCTAATTAGTCGGGGTTGCCAACCCCGACTATTTAGGGTATTAAAAATCGGGTTTTAAGGCTTCTAATTGGGGTTTAACAACTCCTAAACAGTCAGGGTTGGCAACCCCGACTAATTAGGAAACGGGATTAAGCCTACATGGCATAAAACGGGTCGATTTTGATAATTAAAAAAAAACAGTTGATTTTGGTAATTAAAAGGTCATTTGGGTCTACAGTGAAAATTTATTCAAAAATCATTTATATAAAAAGCACCAACTCACGTTTGTAGAATCTCAGCGTGCAAAGCGCTGCCCTAACCCCCAAATCCTTCACTTCCTCCTCTAAGAAACCAAGACAACAATATATTATCAATCAAAACAACAAAGAGAAGGGTTTTCTGTTTATAAGCCCAAATTTTTACCTTGATTATTTTTAAACCCACCCACCCGCTTCCAAAAATCATTCATAAATCCAAATTATATACTGCTATACTGCGATAATTGGTCTAGCAGTTATTTTGTAACTGGGTAGGTTTAAAATCAAATCAGGGTAAAATTTTGGGTTTATAGACTAAAAAAAAACCTAAAAAGAAACAAATTTTCACTAGAAATTTGAAAGAAAAAAAAGACTACCTTGAGGAGTCTCGGGTCTTGAATCTTCATTCGAGTTGCCAGCAGTTGAGCAACGAATTCGCTGCTAAAATTAGGGCAAAGGAAATTAAATTAAGAAAGAAATAGAGAAGGGAAACCGAATAGAGGAAGGGATTTAGGATTATAATTCTTCATCAATTACCTTCAATCGAATGCGAGGGTTTGGGATTTTTTGGATCAAGAGAGGATTTTTGAGGTTTATTAAAGGAGGATTAGGAATGGCAAAAGCAACAGCCATTTCCCACCAAAATCCAAGTTGAGTGAGACTGCAGGTAAAGCTTCAGCTGATTGGCTATAATTGGGCTATGGGCCAAGGGAACGACCCAAATGGAGAAGATCCGTTACTGTAGTTTACATGGGCTATCTATTGGGTTTATAGATAACAGGCCATACAATGCCATGTCAGGTCCATCCAGGTCAGGCCCAGTCAATATATGTGGCTCAGGAACTGGGCCTTAATGAGCATAAGGCTTCGTGTAACTTTTAGCTTGGGCTTACCGCAGATTACGACTCGTACTAAGAAGTTTGTTACTTATCTATCTTGTTGGTTGTTGATTAAATAAGAAACGATACTTTATAAAAAGGGTAAATTACACTAAGCCCCCCTTGAGCTTTCAGCGTTTAGTAGTAAACCTCCAATAACTTTCAAAATCACAAAAAGGCCCCCAATAGCTTTTTCGCTTTAGACGAAACCCGTAATAAGTTTCTGCATTTCACATATAACCCCCATAAGTTAAGACCAAAAACAACATGAAAAAGCATATTGAGAGTTATTGGAGCTTTGTCGTAATTTACCCAAAAGATGTTGAGGGTTCTCCTATAAAAGTTGTTAGGGTGTTGGGTGCGATTTTAAAAGTTATTAGATATTTACTACAAAAATTAAAAATGTTCATGGAGGGTTTTTTTAAAAAAAACATATTTGCTATTATAACGGTTAATAAAAGGTTCAAAGAGACGCATGCAAGTTCCCCAGAGAGAGAGAGAGAGAGAGAGAGAGAGAGAGAGAGATTCCTTGGAGAAGTGAGTCAGTTAGGGCATCCTTCTCTTGCTTAGAGAGCAGGAGAAAGAGATCGATACAAAGAGAGGTCGACCGTCACCTACTTCCCAAAACTCCACCAACAAGAACAAGATATATGAGTTTAGACCCGAACGCTAGCTTCATCTATCAGCCATATAAATCTTTTATCTAAGATAATTAATTGATTAAAAAAATAACAAAGCTTAGTTTAGACATATATTAGGGGACTCTAACAAGAGGCGTGTCATCATAATTATCATACGAAATTAAGTTTCCCTTTATTATTGGATAATCTCGTAATAACTTTTTCGCCATCGGTTAACATAAAAATTCAAACTTATCACCAATCATATAATATATTTCGCCCTTCATATATCCTTTATTAATTGCTTGCTATCTTAGGCATTAAAGTAATTGTATATTGATACCATAAGTGATCATGGGCATCATATAGGACTAGTCCAATTGGAGCAGGTCACACTACCAGAGTCAAAATTAGATACGTAGACAAATTAATCTTCACTTTGTCTCCACTCCAAAGCTAACCCCTGGCCATGCTTCACTTGAAGTGACTCCATTGATTTTTTAGCAAACCTCACCAAACATGCAAAGAACTATCAAACTCGATCATCTCACCTCTATAAATATACACCACCAAAACAAACAAACCCTCATTGATCGATCTCTTCATCCATAGCAAGCAGCAATGGCCTTCTCTCTTCTTTCATCAATTCCCCTCGCACTCTTCACTTTCATGCTCATTGTGGGCCTCAGCAAGGCCCAACAGATTGGCACAGCAACAAGGCATTACAAGTTTCATGTATAAATGTTGCCAAATATTACTCGAAAAAATCATAGTTCTTGTGTAACGTTTATGCATTATGATTATGAAAATTTACTCGTTAATTTCAGATAAGGAGGGCCAACGTCACGAGATTGTGTCACACTAAGAGCATCGTAACCGTCAACGGGCAGTACCCGGGCCCTAAGATTGTAGCAAGGGAAGGTGACCGAGTGATCGTTGAGGTGTTCAATCATGTTAAGGACAACGTGACCTTACATTGGTACGCAACTATGCACTAATCTTTACACCTAGCAATAATTAATATGAGCGTGCGTAAAACAACAATTAATGAGCGGAATGCAGGCATGGGGTTCGGCAGCTGAGGAGTGGATGGGCTGATGGGCCGGCCTATGTAACCCAATGCCCGATCCAAACGGGCCGAAGCTACGCGTACAATTTCACCATAGCGGGCCAAAGAGGAACCCTATGGTGGCATGCGCATATATCTTGGCTAAGGGCCACGCTCTACGGACCCATTATCATTCTACCTAAGCTTGGGGTGCCTTATCCCTTTGCTAAGCCCTACAAAGAAGTTCCTATGGTCTTTGGTAAGCCCAAATTTCTTAGGTTATTTTATTTTATTGATAGTTAATTATAATCTCTGACATGATATGAGTTGGTATCGAACTCGTAGGCGAATGGTGGAACGCAGACACAGAGGCCGTCATCAACCAGGCTCTTAACACTGGTGGAGGCCCAAATGTGTCCGATGCTTACACTATTAATGGCCTCCCAGGCCCGTTATACAACTGTTCTTCTAAAGGTACGTACCACAAAACTAGGTTATATATATTGACCATTATTTAACTACAATCCTACAAATACAGATACGTTCAAGCTCAAGGTGAAGCCAGGCAAGACCTACCTCCTCCGAATCATCAACGCTGCACTCAACGATGAGCTCTTTTTTAGTATCGCCAACCACACACTGACCACTGTCGACGTCGACGCAGTCTACGTGAAGCCATTCGATTCTGATACGATCCTCATCTCACCGGGGCAAACCACCAATGTCCTCCTCCGCACAAAGCCCGTTGGGCCTAGTGCCACATATCTCATGGCCGCGAGGCCGTACGCCACGGGCCAAGGCACGTTCGACAACTCAACCACCGCAGGTCTCCTCGAATATCAAAATGATCACAATAAGTCAATCAAAAAATTACCACTCTTCAAGCCAACACTTCCGTCTATTAATGACACTTCTTTTGCCACCAAATTTACAAACAAGTTGCGTAGCTTAGCGACCGAAAAATTTCCGGCTAACGTCCCCCAATCTATCGATGAACACTTATACTTCACTGTTGGGTTGGGCTCAAACCCGTGCCCAAAAAACCAAACATGCCAAGGCCCGAACGGGACCAAATTCGCCGCAAGTGTTAACAACGTGTCCTTCACAATGCCCACTACGGCCCTCTTACAGGCCCATTACTTTGGGCAATCAAATGGAGTCTATAGGCCGGATTTCCCAGTAAACCCCTTGCATTACTTTAATTACACCGGGACCCCACCTAATAACACACTGGTGGGCAAGGGGACTAAGTTGATGGCGTTGAGGTTCAATACAAGTGTGGAGTTGGTGATGCAGGATACTAGCATCCTTGGGGCTGAGAGCCATCCTTTGCATTTGCACGGATACAATTTTTTTGTGGTGGGCCAAGGATTCGGAAACTATGATCCAAGCAAGGACCAGGCCCATTTCAATTTGGTCGACCCGGTTGAGAGGAACACTGTTGGGGTGCCACCTGGCGGCTGGGTGGCCATCAGATTTCGCGCTGATAACCCTGGTAAGATAATTAGCATATAGTCTAATGATTTTACTAAGGTTTGAAGGGTTTGGTCTAATTTTATTAAGCAATTATTTATTAGGCGTATGGTTCATGCATTGTCACCTGGAGGTGCACACAAGCTGGGGTCTGAAAATGGCATGGTTGGTTCTTGATGGAGAACTGCCCAATCAGAAGCTGCCACCTCCGCCCGCCGATCTTCCCAAATGCTAGGAATCTGACTCAGAGATTGAAGGTTGAACCAACATATTTTGCTTGAGATCTTGGATATTTCTTCATTAATTTATTCTTTTTGATAACATTTGTGTTCTTCATTATACTTTTCTTTCATGTTCTGCTGACAGTGACAGTGTGAGAAGAGAGTTTTCCATGTGTGGATAAGTTTTTTTAATGAATAATGTCTTTTGGAGACCTATTTGATCAATAAAATCAGAAATTTTTTTTACAGTCTAGTGTCATCTGTGATATCTCTGATACCAAAATATTAAGCTATTTATTAGCTTTATCTATTGATGCTACTTGCAGCTAACAGTTCTATATTATCACAGGAGATCACTAGTGTTTGATCTATCTCCTTACTACAAGCAACTTGCTAATATAATCCAACAACTCACATCTTCTTTATCATCTAATCAAGCAGTGGGCAAATCAATAATATTTGAATTTTTTTCTCACCCTCTTAGTAGTAAAACAGTGAAATTTTAAGTTCCAGATGTTAGAATGTAATTTAACATACGCATGCTATTCAAAAAGGCAACAGAGCCCGCATCCGAGTAACAATCAGGACACCCAGGGCATCGACAGAGAAATAAGTGACCTCAAACTTTTCGATATGAATTCTAATATTGTATGTAATACATTATTTCGATGAATTGGTTACATTTTCGAATCCATTAATAATTAAAGCAGGCATCATGCAAACAAGTAAATGCACGGTAAATACTCGATGCTTAGAACCGTGCAGTGGCCTGAGAGAAGAGTGCCTTGAAATCTTTGGTTGGTTCACCAACCCCTTCTGGCTTAGATGCAAGATCAAATGCCTTGAACTTTGCCTCATCAAACTGCAGAGCTTGGATGCAGACTTCGGCAACATCAGCTCTAGGGATCGTCTTCGTGTCAGTCTGCAGGAGTTCATCATCTTTTCCGATGATTAGTTCTCGTAGGCCACCATCTTTATCCTGTAAACCACCAGCTCTGATCCGGATGCCAATATCTCAGTTAGCATAAATAATAAGATCATAACTAATGGGGCAAGGACTAAGGAGGATTAGAGACAAGAGAAGTACGAGTAGAGTCTGTAACATGTGACTTTGAAATATTTGACCCACCTAGCATTACTGTTTCACCAAACCCAAAAACACTGTTCCACCAACCAAAACACTATTCCACCAACCCTTTTGAAGGTTATAAACAGACGGAGAGAAGAAGAGAAGAGTTAGAGAGAAGAAAGAGAGGGAGAGAGAGAAAGAAAATTTCTTTCTTTATGTGATTCTTTGGTTAGAGAATGATCTCCTTTGTAATCTTCTCTTTTGTGATTAGTGAAGTTCTCTGCTATTCTCGCCAGTGAACGTAAATCATATTGACCGAACCACGTTACATCATTGTGTGTTGTTCTTTTTGTCTTCACTGTGTTTATTCAATGTTGTTATTATCCACTCTTGTATAGATATCTTCTGTGTCTGTGAAGCCCCCCGCTGCAACAGAGACAACAGGACTAAATCTTCTTCTTTCTAGTATAACAACATCATTTTACACAAGAGTACACAACTGAATCAGAGCGGAGTGACATCCTAATTCAGATGTATGACTTGTTTTTTCCCCTTATTCTAAGCCTTCCTTCTCCTAATGTATTTCTCCCTTCTTTTCTCTTCGTGTCTATTCAATATCTTTTTTCTCTAGTCATCCCAAATACTAAACAAACAAGAACAAGAGACAGATCTAAGCAAAGTTGGCTGGAAGCAATTAAAAATGATATTGTAATAGTTAGCTTAACAGAGAAGACAGACCTTAATGGAACTGAATGGAAGAATATAATTCATGTACCCAACCCAACCCCCAAAAATTTGAGGAGTCACAGCCCTTGCAATTTAAAAATTCACACATATTCAGTTTATGTCCCTTAATTGTATAATCTTATATGAGGAATAGCCCATTTGTCTATTCTAGTGAGTGAAGGTTGCACATAACTTTATTACTATCACTAAGAAAATGCACTTCAGCAATTCCGACCTTCTGCATAAATGGGGTATTAAAATTTTCAGACTGAAGTCCTGCTCACTTCTTAAGACTGAAGACATCATCACAAACACATAAACACGCGCGTGCGCACACAGAGACAGAGAGAGCAATGCATATGTAAACAATGACAGGAAAAAGAGCGAGACCTTATGATTGTGTATGGTATTCCAGAGTCTGCTAGATACTGTTCAGCCTTTCGCTTCCATATCTGGAAACACAAGGCAACATCATTAGATCGCAACATCACATCATCAGAAGAATTGACCCCTTAAAATACACGTCATTCCTGGTATACATCCAGAACATTTATCTATACATGAATGAAGTTGACAGCATGATGATAGGTAGGATAATACTATAATACAAGTCTTACATGAACAGAAAATATAGAAACATAGAAGTCATTGATCAATTCTGATATGCATATTAAGGGGAATCAATAAGTAATACCAACCGCGACCACTCTATAAATCAAGAAAAATAAAGAATACGCGAATCAGATATATACCAATATATTTCCGTTCCCAAGGCTGTTCAAGGGATGATTAGGATTAGTTCCGCCCATAGACCCAACCAAGACAATATGCTTCACACCAGCAGATTTAGCTGTACAAAAGGATCAGATATAAACACACACATTTTCTTAAATAACAGAATAAAGTTAACCTAAATAGCTCACCAGCATCAATCTGATTCTTTTGGCCAATCCAATCAACCTGAAATACCAAATCTCTGACTGTTAAATTAGCAAAAAAGGATGAACAGGCAGGATATTTGACGATAACATCTGAAGTTACCTGTTCAGGGTACAAACCATCCTCATAATAAAACTCGGGTCTTCCACCTTTGCTAGGATCAAACCCCGGTTTCATTTTCGGAACAGCACTCGTGAGAATTACAAGCACATCAGCTCCTTCAACAGCAGGAGCAATCCTTTCAGCGTCTCGTATATCAGCTACAAAAATGTCATCAGCTCCTCCAATTTTCTCCTTGCTCGCCTCTGTCCTAACAAGTCCCCTTGCATTGAACTTGTCCGCCCTCTCCTTCAGTTTTCTATAAACAATTTGTCCTAAAATGAAACAGACACAAATATTTCAAATTCAGTGTCTTATAGCCCTATCTTACTTAAAGACAAAAGAAAGAAAACTATACTAAATAGATTTTATGAAATAATACAACACAAGAAACAAAGAAAACAACTCTCGTTACTTTTAGAATATAAAAATATATCCCTCAATTCCCACAACAATTTTGGAGTTTTGATGTAATTGGTTAGGGACTTTTTTTTTTGAGAGAAAGGATGGAATACCACAAAGTTATTCCATCCAGCTAAATTAAGATAGATGGTTGTTACAAAAAACCGATCATACTCCCAACCATAGAGTATGAACTACTGTTTAACCAAAAAACTTACAAGACCAAATCACACCTCCACCACCAAAGTATCAGACATAATCTCCCAAACGGAGAACAAAAGAAAACCAGCATAGCAAACATATATGCCAAGATACAATCCCATGTTATACACAACACCAAAAACAAAAGACTTATCTTTACCATCCACCAACTGCAACCAACGATCAGTAGAAGTTTCATTCCAACTGGATCACTTGGAGCTCAGCCCTTCCACCAGCAGATGCGCCATCATTGCTAAGTCTCCCAGCATATTTCTTTCTCCTCCTTTCATGTAACCTAGCAGCTCGAGCAGAAATCTCTTTAGAACCTAACCAGAAGGTTGAATAAGTCACAATTTTATTTAAGAGAAGAAGAGATCCTTTCTGCTTATTAGAAAACAATCTGTCATTGCGTTCCTGCCAAACACACCAGATCAGGGAGCAAATCCACACTAACTTCCTCAAATTAGATTCTCCCCCAATACCACCACTCCACCCAAACCAAACTTCTTTCAAAGAGTTCATTCTAAAATCATTATCAGCATTCAACTTGAATTGAATAGATCTCCAAATTGAGTAAACAAACTCACAATTAAGAAATAAATGTGCATGATCTTCATCTTTATCTGAACATAAACAACATGTTTTCTCTATTTGAATACCCTTTCTATTCAGCATATCTTTAGTATTCAAACCCTCCCTTAAAGCCAACCAAACTAAAACTTTGATCTTTAAAGGAACAGGGAGGCCCCATAAGTTCATACAATCATATCTCACTCCTCCATCATTAAGAAAAAGATAAAAGGACTTAACAGTAAACATCTTTTTTGTCTCCCATATCCATTCTCTTTTATCATCATGATACACAAAGTTCTTTGAGTTAATAAGATTCATCATACTAAGATATTGTAACACCAAAGAACCTGTCAATTGCCTTTTAAAATGAATCTCCCATCTCCACGAATTATTTTCAAACTTCCTCAACTTACTCACACAAGCATAAGGAGATGATGTGATAGAGAACAAAGAGGGAAATAATGAGGCAAGAGTACACGGACCTAACCATTTATCCAACCAGAATAAAGCATAATTTCCATTGCCAATCTCCACTTGAGTACTGCATAAGAAACTGTTAGCATTGACCAAAATACCTTTCCAAAAATATGAAAGATGCCATCTGTCAGAATATAAGAATTCAGACCAAGGTTTTTTTTCAAAATAACTATGAAAACTGATTTGTTTCCAAAGACCAGGTTTAACATCAAACCATTTCCATAGCCATTTCCCTAAAAGGGCTTTGTTCATAACCTTCAGATTTTTAATTCCCAAACCACCACACTTTTTTGGTTTGCACACTTCTTCCCATTTAACCAAGTTAGAACACCCTTTATGTTCCAAAGAACCACTCCATAAAAACCTTCTTCTCATCTTATCAATTTTTCCAATAACCCATAAAGGAAATAAAAAATAAGATAGCCAAAAAGTTGGAATCGAGGAAAGAACAGCATTAACTAATACTAATCTACCTCCTCTTGATAAGGAATTTCCTTTCCATAAGGCTAATCTTTTCTCAATCTTGATAATCAAAGGAGACCAATCATCTTTTTTTAATTTCCCAGGTCTTAAAGGCATCCCAAGATAAGTAATAGGAAAACTACCACTTTTACAATTCATCATAATGGCCAAACCTTGTTGTAATGATCCATCATTCTCAAGAGCAATGAGAACACTCTTGTTAAAACTAATCTGTAACCCAGAAGCTAATTCAAAACAATAAAGAATCAGTTTCAAAACTGTTAACTGTTCTCTGTTGTTTTTGCAAAAAATCAGTGTATCATCTGCATACTGTAAGCAATGAACTTTATCTCTCATATTATTGGGTCCTAACCCTTCAATAAGATGGGATTCTACTGCTAAATTTAGCATTTTAGTAAAAGAGTCTGCTGCCAACACAAACAAAAGGGGAGACAAAGGATCTCCTTGACGCACCCCTCTCTTGGACATGATCCACCTCCCTATTTTACCATTAATATCAATAGCAGACATTCCCCCATGTAAACATACTTTCACCCAATGCACCCATTTATCTCCAAATTTTTTAGCTTTCAAAACATCAAGAATAAAATCCCAATCAAGCATATCATAAGCTTTCACAAAATCTAGCTTTAATAAAATTCCCCCTCTTTTCTTATTTTGAAAACAGTCATTGATAATCTCTTGAGCTGCAACTACCCCATCAAGCAAATATCTGTTTTTAATAAAACCAGATTGCAAAGGATCAATAAGCAAATCAAGCTTAGTATTCAACCTGTTAGTAAGGACTTTAGTAATCATTTTATATATCACATTAAGAAGACTGATGGGTCTGTATTCATTAACAGAAGAAGAATCATCCTTTTTTGGAATAAGGACAATGTGAGCATAATTCAATCTATTGATTTCTAAAGAACCTTCATAGAATTCCTCAAACAATTTCATAATATCATCTTTCACTGTGTCCCAAAACACTTGAAAGAATAGAGCTGAAAAACCATCAGGGCCAGGGGATTTATCCCCATTCATATCAAAAATGGCATTATGAACTTCTTCAACCGAAAAAGGTTGTTCAATGTCATTGGACCCCCACTCAAACTCAGGGAACAATCTATTCCAATCAAGGATACACCTGCTAGTAACTTTATTCCCAAAAATTTGATTGTAATGGTTTAAAAAAACCTGAGCTATACCATCTTCAGAGCTAATTTCCACATTGTTATGAGTAATTGAAGAAATCAAATTACTTCTCTTTCTCCCATTGGCAATTTTATGAAAATACTTAGTGTTATTATCCCCCTCTTTTAACCAATGAGCTTTAGATCTCTGTTTCCACATTTGTTCTTCTTGTAATAAGATTTCATTCAACTGTACAACAGTATCATTTTTTTTGATCAACTCATCATCAGTCAAATCTCTATTCTCCTCCAAAACTTCCCAAGTTAAAAGATTATCTAATAAATCTTTCTTTTGTTGTCTCACACTATGAAAATTTAAATGCACTCATTGTTTTATACATTTTCTCATAAACCTGAGTTTACCAACTATGTTTTTAGCTGCAGAGACACTTGAAGGGGCACATCTCCACCAGACAGGCACCTCTATGTTTTTAGCTGCAGAGACACTTGAAGGGGCACATCTCCACCAGACAGGCACCTTATATAGGAAGTCATCAGATCTCAACCAAATTTTTTCAAATCTGAATTTTTTAACATAACATTGATTATCCCCAAAATCAAAACTAATGGGAGCATGATCAGATAATTGACTGCTAAGCCCCTGCTGTTTAGAAAAAGGAAAAAAATCTTCCCAATCAGAGTTGAAAAAAACTCTATCCAACCTAGCCATAGAAGGAGACCTTCTCTTATTTGACCAAGTAAATTTCCTCCCATGTAAAGGACTGTCAATCAATTCCAACTCATTAATAATATCATTAAACTCCTCCATTTCTCTTCTATAATTACTTTTGCCTTTTCTTTCAGAGGAATTAGAAGTGACATTAAAATCTCCAACCACAATCCAAGGGCCTGAAAAAGTATTTTTGATATCTTTCAACTCCTGCCAAAACATCAACCTCTCTTTATTACAATGTGGACCATAAACTGAAGAAAGAGTCCATTTAAAATTATTTTTTTTACTTTGTAAAACCACAGTCAAAACATAATTGTCCACTTTCTCTTGTAACTTCTTCCAACTAGAGCTATTCCATCCAATCATAATTCCTCCAGAAGAGCCTTCAGAGGGTACAAAAGACCAATCAAACAAATTACCCCCCAAACTTTTTAAAATACTCTCTGTAACAGTATTCAACTTAGTTTCTTGTAAACAAATAATATCAAATTTATTCAATTGACAGAAATCTCTAACACCAAATCTTTTTGTATCCAACCCTAAACCTCTGACATTCCATGTAATCAACATGATATCAAAAACAAACACCTCAGTAAAGGGACAGCAGAGTCTACTCAAAAGTAGCTCTCTCTTGTTCCATCTGCCTCACTTTTTTAATAGGATCAAAATTCTCCCGAGGCTCAAGAAAAATAGCACATTTAGATGCATATTTCTGTAACTGGTAATTAGAGCAATTCTCAAACAGAATTGGAACAAAATAAGAACCCATAGCAGAAGAAGAAGAAGATTCACCTGAACCACCAGTGACTCCAGGAGTAAAATTATTGTCAATCTGCTCCATTCTTGAAGTAGCTCTATCTAAAGCAGACATTGGTTCAAGAGCAGCAAATCTGGCACATCTTCTGACAAATGACACCTTTGTATTACAAATTGGATCTTCAGGTGGCAAAGACTTCAGAGGTTGAATCATAAGAATGTCATCTTCTTTAACTACATCTTCCTCAAAATTATTTGGAATTGATGTCCCTTTGTCAGCAGTAAAATCTTCACTAACTATGATAGCTTTGCCTTTGGAATCATCACTTATTTTAGATTCCTCTTCCACACTTGGTTCTTCTCTAACTTCAGAAAACAAAGGAATATTAACCACTAATTCCTCATCTTTGCTATCTTCTTCTGAATTTTCCATGTTAATAACATTTTCTTCTATCCCATCCATCATCATTTTTTCTGGAACTTGTTGCTCACTATTATCCTTCAGCACATTAACATCCCAAGGTTCCCAACTAGAACTATTTTTCTGATAAAAGTTTTTTGCTTCCATCCAAAGCCTAGCAGCAGGAGATCCCCATGGAGTTTTCCTCAAATCTTGTCTAACAGACCAAGAGTTATTATCAGACCCTATCAACGAAGAAGACCCAGTTCCACTATCTTTTCTTCCCTTAAACCATTTATCATTGTAAGAATTCTGTTTAGTATCTGTTTCTTCCTGGTCTATTTTCTGTTTTTTCCTTTCACCTTCACTAATATCCCCCATAACAGACATAATTGGTTAGGGACTTTGACCTGGTATCAGACCAACACATGTTAAATTCCCACCGACGACCCACGAATTTAAAGCGTATTTCCTACAAATTGAAGTCTAGGTTTCGTCATATAAAAAAGGCGCCTAATTCGGGACAGAATATAAAAATATAACCCTCAATCTTCACAACAAACTTCGTGGTTTTGGTTCAATTGGTTAAAGCCTTTCACATTACTATTTTGATACTAAACCCTAACTCAAGCTCACAGGCTCCCTCCAAAATCCATCAGTTCTCCAAACAGAGTCCCCATTCGTAGAAATGACTCCAAATTTCCCTACTTTACTCAAAATGAACTAAAATTGGGTGAGAAATTAGGGTTCTTTGGGTTCTAAATCCACCAAAACAAAAAGAAGGGATCGCCGGCTAAAGAGGGGAGAGGAAATTACCGGTTCTACCGCCGGCGCCAGTGACAAGTACGGTCCTTCTAGAAGAATCGGCCATCGCTAGAAACCAAAGGAATACCTTTCCGAGATTATTCTATCCTGCTCTGGGGTTCAGTTTCTACGTGAGCTTTTGTTACACGTGAAACGGCCCATTTGGTTTGGGCCCTATGCCTACTGTGAACAAAGATACATTTTAAAGTTTAGGCCCGACAATTGGACTGTGTGGGCTCGGTCACTTTTGGGCCCGTTAACGAAGATTCCAAATTAATGAAGGGCTTAAATTAGTCTAGTAGCCTGGTGATTCATATGAGGTGGAAAATATCAATTAGGATGATATATTAATCTTCAGCATGCAAATCTTATCTGAAACTATTGAAATTTCCAAAATAATCATCACTTCAAGAGTACCCCCTTGATGAATTGATTAAATTTGTATATCTTATTCATAGTTTTCTTCTTCAAAACCTTCTCTTTTTACTATGTTTTCTTTTCAAAGAAAGCTCTCGAAAATGAGCGAGGGAGATGATGTTAAGATTTGAGAGATCGTCTGCAATAGTTGTGTAACTTCTGTTTTACTTAGTGGATAGTTATGTTTTGTGGGCAGCTGTAGAGAGAAGAGTGGTGTTAGTGGGTAGAGATAATATTAGTGTAGTTATATATAGTTGTTGTAATGGAGATGATGGTATGAATGAGGATTATTGTTTGCTTATCCTCTAGTTCTTCTCTTTATCTTCTTCCTCTGTTCCTCTTCTTCTTCCTCTATCGAATTCAACCTCATCAAGTTGTTGGTTATTAAATTCGTGAACATAGGTGATCGCGTTGACCGAATGATCGACGCTGTTGTTGCCAATATGACAGCGGACAAATTTTCAAAACCACCCCCTTTTAGGATTTTTATTTGCAAAAACCGACCCCTTTTGAAAATAATTACAAAAACCGACCTGTTTTCAGCCCAGCGCTGAAAACAGGTCGGTTTTTGTAAAGAGTTCTCCGAAACATCACGGGAGTTCAACTCCCGTGAAGTTTATGGAGAAATTAAACTTCACGGGAGTTGAACTCCCGTGAAGTTTAATTTCTGCTTAAAACTCCACGGGAGTTCAACTCCCGTGGAGTTACAGTCAAACATTCCCAGAGAACCGATCTCTCGGTTCTCTGGGAAATTGGGACTGCAACTTCACGGGAGTTGAACTCCCGTGAAGTTGCAGGTCATCCAGAATGCACAGCCTGCTGTGCATGTTTTGTATATGTACCTATTAACTCATATATATGCTAATTTATTTACAAATAACAATATATACATGATTCAACCATGAATTATAACTCATATATATGCCAATTTATTTGCAAACAACAATATATACATGATTCAACCATGAATTAAACACACACGATTATGTATATGAACAATAATTTACCTTCAAAAGTTTAGTATTTGAAAATTCAGGAAAGTTATAAATTTTAACAAAATAAGTTCAAATACAACCCAATATAGCTCCCCTCCTTCCTCTCCCTCTCTTCCCCCTCCCCCTCGCTCTTCCCCGCCCCCTGGGTTCCTACTGATGAGCCTCAACTATCTGAGTATCCGGCTGTGTATGAAGCTGTGAAGTGCCGGCTCCATCG